GCTCCCCTTGTAAAACGTGGTCTGGAAAACCTGCCTGGAAGGACTGTTGGGAACGTGAAAAAGTCATATGAAGCCCTGCTTGAAGTTAGTGCCGGTGTATGTGTCCTGGTGACCACACTTGGCTTGTATAAGCAGCAGCTGACATACTTTGGAAGAGGCTCCTGCCTTTAAGACTTCTGTGAATGCTGACCTCTGGATTCAGGGTATCTGACCCCTCTTTGTGCCAACCCTCAGAATTGCAGGAGTCATGATGCCTGCCTGAATCTCATCAGCCTCCCAGAATCTCCGAGTCTTCCATCTACTGAGGGAACTACTTCTGCCCCAGGTATTTGTTGCAGAGCGGAAATGCATGGGTCCCTAGCTATAGGGAAGCCCTGATGCCTGATCCGGTCAGCCCTTTGCCAGTTCCCAGGCCTCTTTGACTCTGCCCCATTCAGTGTTGTGTCTAAGGAGGAATGACAGCACCACACAGGAGACAGGCAGGGTTTGAGGAAGTAAAATGCTAGCTCTATAGCACAGGGCCAGCAGATAATAGGAGGTGGCGGGGTGGCATATGTCATAATCTTCATATCGTTGTAGCTGCCATCTTTGTTGCGCTCTGTTCTGTCTGGAAACAACTGCACTTGCCTTCTGTAGCATCCTTGCTTGCCAACTTCAGCCAAGACATCTTCTTTCCATTCAGTGTCACTTCATGGCCTAACATTTACCAGGGGATCGTGCACCCTACAGTGATTAACATAACGAATGGCCCCCACATTTCATCTAGCTCCTATTTTCCTGTTACTGGGGTACAAGTTTGGCTATGTAATCCTTCAGCAGAGTAACACTGAATACAACAATTAAACCTGCACTACAGCCAGCATTATGGAGTAGCAGGTGGAGCCACCGCCTGTGACCCTGGTGCACATCCTGGCTGTTCCACTTCTGATCCAGCTCTCTTGCTAATGGCCTGGAAAGGCAGCGGAAGATGTCTCCAGTATTTGGGCCTTTGTCACCCATGTGGGAGACTGGATGAAGCTCCTGGCTTTGGCCAGGTTTAGGGCTGCCTATTGCAACCATACTGGGGTGGGAGGTGGGGGCGGTAAGTCTCTCCCTGTGTCTCCATTGCTCTCTATAACTCTGCCTTTCAAAATAAATAACTCTTTTAAAGAAGGTAAACATTCTTGTAAATTATACATCTAAGAGGCACCTGGAGGTTTCTGTTACTGCTTTATTTATTTATTTTAGGATTTATTTACTTAATTGAAAGACAGAGTTACAGAGAGAGAAAGTTCTTCAGTCTGCTGGTTTACTCCTCAAATGGCCACAATAGCTGGAGCTGGGCCTGGCCAAAGCCAGGAACCTGGAATTCCATCGAGGTCTCCCACATGGGTGCAGAGGCCCATGTACTTCTGCCATCTGCTGCTGCTGCTTTCCCAAGTGCCTTAGCAGAGAGCTGGACCAAAAATAGAGCAGCCGAGGCTTGAAATGACAACCACGTGGCATGCTGACACTGCAGGCACCACAACAGTGGCTCATATTATTGCTATTTAAAATATAGAGTATATCTCAGTAAATTCACTGAAATTTTTTGTTGATAGTTTGCTCATGTAAGTTGCCTGGACTTTTCTTCCTACTCTTTTTTTTTTTTTAAAAAAAGAGATTCATTATTTATTTAAAAGGCAGAGTTACGGAGAGGCAGAAGCAAGGGAGGGGGGAGAAAGAGAGAGAGTGAGGGAGGGAGGGAGGGAGGGAGTGGTATCTTCCATCACTGGTCCATTCCCGAGATAGCTGCAATGGCTGGAGCTGCACTGATCCAAAGCCAGGAGCCTCCCCAGGTCTGCCTCGTGGGTGCAGGGCCCCAAGTACTGGGCCATCCTCCACTGCTTTCCCAGGCCATAGCAGAGAGCTACATCTGAAGTGGAGTAGGAGCAGCCAGGACTAGAACTGGTGCCCATATGGGATGCCAGCACTGCAGGTGGCCACTGTACCTGCTACACCACAGAGCCAGCCCTTCTTCCTACTTTTAATGTTCATTGATATGTTGCCTCATGAATTGTTGGTTTTGAGTTTAGTCTTTGTATACAAAGGCTGTGCATATAATTTTTAAATTTATGGCATGACTTCAGCTTTTAAAACAGAATTCATTAATCTCTAGATAAATATGTTGTTACAGATTGAAGATATCATTTTATTGTGAAATTCCGTGAAATGGCTTGCTCAGATGAGTTTGATTGTTCCGGTGATCAAATTATACACTGCATGTGTATACACGGTGTTGTACTGTTTTAGGGGAATACAACTTGAGATTTATTCTTTCTCAGAAACTCCCTCTAATCCCCTTAATGACTTCTGGGGAGAGGCTATAATGAAACCCCGCATTGGATGCCCCTACCAGAAGATACTCGTATCCCTGTATATTGTTGCTAATGTTGATACTCTTGCCTGTTAACAATCATATTTGTATCAGATGAAAAATGGTCTGTGCTATTGACCAGTTAGTATGCCATTTATATTCGGATACACTTAATACAAATGTTTTTCTTCTGGTACTTTTATAAATCCCTCAAAAATGATGCCTCTTAAGGATAGTTCTGATAAAAGAAAATTTATATTTTAGTGTTTGAAGTAATGTCCTTTTACAAAATGACTTCAGGGGAAAAAATGGCAATCTGCTAAAGCCATTGAGACACGGTTAATAATAAAAGTTTTAAAATTTCAAAGCTGGAAAGAACTCTGGTCCCGTCTTTGTATTGGTGCGTGAATTTTTTGTGTTGTTGCCCATGGTAACTATAGAGAACTTTTGTAAACAGCACCCTTTTAATAACAGCGGTCCCCCCAAATATACTGTGGCATTGCTTTAAACTTGATTAAGTCTGCCTTGGACTCCCCCTTCCTCTCCCTGGCGAAAGGGAAGAAAAGTTTGGCAGGCGCCATGCTGTGCACTTGATTGATGTCCAGAACATCTAAAGGACTTTTGTGTCCTGCCTGCTCTCTGTGAGTGCATAATGTGTGAATACTTAAAGAAGGTCAGGCCTATCACATGGAATCTAGGCCTGGAAGCAGACCAGCAGTGACAGTCCTGTCCCCCAAGTAAGGACACAAGCCATCCTCTGCGTGCTTTCCCCAAGTTGGGGGATTTTATTTTTTCTTTCTTTCTCTTTACCGCTTCCCGTTCATCGGGACCTCGGCAGAGCAGTGAGAGCGAAGACGTGCTCAGAATACTGTGTCACCCTTTGGAGGGAGGAAGGGATTGTTTATTTGCAAGGATGTGATGATCTTGGGCTGTTTGGCTGAGGGGAGCCGCTTGTTAGTGACTAGTGATGTGGAATGCTGCAAATGAGAGCGGGGTTGGGCAGGCGGGAGGCGGAGGCGCCCGAGAAGGGGCTGGAGTTGTGCTCTTTTAGAAACTCCAAAGTCAGGAAATAGTGTTTGTGTTTGGGTTCTATTGTTCATTTTTCTTTCTTCCTAGCAGAGGGAGAAACTTTTTACATCACTACGTGTTTAGTTTAGTGATAAACCAGAATAATGCATTGAATTACCCCTACAGTTCTAATTGCACGGATCTGTTTTTGGCACAACACATATGAGAGTTTGAAAAATATTTTAATACAGAACTCTATGGAAGAGTAGAGATATGAGATGCTATGGATTCGAACAGGAGGAAGGAAATAACTTGTTGTTAATGTACTTTGGGCAGAAATTTAATTAAAAACTAAATTTCATGCCACACAATATCAGCAGGGATGATCAATTAATAAAATAACACTCACCTTATTGTTACTGATACTAATCATAAGGCTGTTGTCCCATTTTCTTACCTACAAAGGAGAGTATTTTTCATCCTATCTCCAAGACTTTACTAGTTTTCCTTTGAAATATGATCAGCTGTGAGAAGCAGTGGCTGCAGTTAGATTGCACAGTGAAAAAAAAAAAAAAAAAAAAAAACCTGCGCCGGTGTCTCAAGCCACACTGCTTCCGGTACATGGAGGATGAAGTCAGAACTTCTCTTAGAGGGGGCCAGGCCCTTCCCGGCTTTGCCCACCCTGCTTTTGCACTGCTGCCACTCTCTAGGCATATCCAGTTTCTCAGGTTCCTGGCAAGCACAGCTCTTCTCTTGACTCAACAGGGTCTGTACCTTCTGTTGTCTCTGCTGGGCCTTCCTCTTCCTCCTCTTCACCCAGTGGATTCCTACTTCTTTCTGAAAACCCAGTTCAGATGCCTGCCCCGCCGGAGCCCAGCCCCCAGCTTCAAGCAGAATTCATCTCGGTTTCTCCACCATTCTTTGCCTGTTTCTTCATTAGCAGCCAGTGACTGGGCTGCAGCCTCCTGACTTGATGGTGTGTTACATAGGATGCTCAGACATGAAGGCAGGTGCTGTCTCCTTTTATTATTATTTTAGATCGGAAGAGCAAGAGAGAGATCTTGCATTCGCTGGTTTACGCTCCAAAAGGCGACAACAACCAGGGCTGGGCCAAACCAAAGCCAGAAGCATTGAACTCCGTCTGGGGCTCCCACCTGGTGGCAGGGGCCCAAACACTTGGGCCATCATCTGCTGTCTTCCTAGGCACTTTAACAGGGAGCTGGATCAGAAGTGGAGCAGCCAGGACTGCACCCAGCATCAAGTGCCAGCATTGCAAACAGTAGCTTAACCTGTCCACCACAACGCCCACTCTATCTCTCTTTGTTTTTAAAGATTTATCTGTTTATTTGAAAGGTGGAGTTACAGAGAGAAGGAGACAAAGAGATAGAGAGCAAGGTCTTCATTCTGCTGGTTCACTCCCCAAATGGCCACAATAGCCAGAGGTGGGCCAATCCCAATCCAGGTTCCAGGAGCTTCATCTGGATCCCCCACAGGCATACAGGGGCCCAAGGACTTGGCCCATTTTCTTCTGCTTTCTCAGGCACATTAACAGGGATCTGGTTCAGAAGTAGAGCAGCTGGGACTCGAACCAATGTCCATATGGGATGCCAGCGCTTCAGGCAGCAGCTTTGCTCGCTATGCCACAGCATTGGCCCCTAAAAAAATGGAGCACTTCCCAGATTTGTTTGCCATCCTTGTGCAGGAGCTATGCTAACCTTCTCTGTATCCTTCCAATTTTAGTATAAGTGCTGCTGAAGAAGGCGTAACTGTCTTTTTTTAATGTTCCCATATCTTCAACCTCTAGACACCATCTCTCTGAATACAGCCAAATGTGAATATTTGTGATGTATCAAAAGCTGTGTATATGCATAAAATCAGGAGAATGGGAGGTTATGCTAAAGTAACTCACAAATTGAAGTGGTTAACAAGGTAGTTACTCAGTTTAAATCTAATCAGTGTACCTCTGCTTCAAATACATGAATTCACTAAAAATAAATTGATTCAATATTTTTACAGGTGTAAGTTAGAATTTCTTAAGCCTTGATGCAATATGTGATATACTTTATATCATTGTTTTAATAGTCACATTTGTTTGTAACAGGAATAATTTGACAAATGTTATTTTGCAGCCTGTTATATTACTATCCTTATTCAGTTTACTTACTTATTTTAAAGGCAGAGTGATGAGAGAGAGAGAGAGCTTGCATCTACTGGTTTACTTTGCAAAAAAAGCCAGGAGCCTGGAACTCCATCCCGGTCTCCCATATGGGTGGCAGGGGGCCAAGTACCTCTGCTGCCTTCTGCTTTTTTTTCCAGGCACATTAGCAGGGAGATGGATCAGAAGCAGAGTAGCAGGGACTTGAACCTGCACCCTGATTTGGGATGCTGGTGTCACCAGTGATGGCTTATGCCACAGTGCCAGCCCCCTAACCTGTCAGATTAAAGAGCGTTGTTAGTCAAGGCTTTCATATTGAAAGCTCAAGAGTGATTTATGAGAGCTGCTGGGAAATCGATGACACTTTCTGATGCCTTCCTAGGTTCTGGGTGTGAGATTTAGTAGTTAATATTCATTCACTTGTTTAATGGGTACAGCAACATTCACAGTTAGGCAGTGAGCACGCTGTAGTACTGAGGGTTCAAGCAGTGTGCCCCAGGTTACACCCAGAGCGCCAGCAGGCTCTCCTGACTACCAGCAAAGCTTCTCTCAATCAAGAAGGAGGCTGTCTGGGTAAGAAGTCTGCAAGAAGTGCCCATTCTCACACTGAGACCTCTCCCTTCCTCTCCAAGCTGCCCATGAAGCCTCGTTTGGTGTGTAAATCAACTTGCAAACTAAGGGGGCTGTGTGCAGAAGAAGCTGAAGAGCACCTCAGATAACAACCATTGCCTTTCTGCTTTCTGGAGTTTCTCCCTGTAGGTACAGATGTGATGAAATTAAAATAGAATCTAGGGGAGCGATGGAATGAGTAGGTTGTGGTAGCTTCATAAGCAAGTGTGCAAGCCGGTTGGTGGCAGTAATTCCTCCGGCAGGCAGCTCTCCAGTTAGGAAGTCAGGACTGAAGGTGTTGTTGCTGGAATTGGTTTTTTTTTTTTTTTTTTGTTTTTTTAATTTGGTAGAGTGTTCACACACACACACACACACAGAGAGAGAGAGAGAGAGATATCTCTTCTATCTGCTGGCTTGCTTTCCAAATGCCAGCAACATCTGGGGCTGGAGCAGACCAAAGCCAAGAGCCAGGAACTCCATCCAGATCTCCCACATGGGTGGTAGCAACCCAGGTACTTGAGCCATCACCTTCTGTCTCCCAGGGTAGGAGGCAGAGGCAGGATTCAACCATACACCATGATACGGTAGGCAGGCATCCTGAGTGGAGATCTAACCCCTTGCAACACAGTGTCCATCCCTGAAAGTTTATTTACCTGCAGAGGTTTATTTGTTAATTGACCTGTTGCAGATAGAGCCTTAATTAGATTGGATTTTGGAAATTAAGATGTGAATGGTGGATTACCTGATGTACATCGAGGTCAGTGAGTTAATCATGAAAATCTGGATTGTTTGCCAAGCCAGTTTTCCCGTATATATAATAAGAGTTTCATTTTCTTTTTTTCTTTTTTGAGACTAATATTCTAGGACCTATACTGTATTTTGTGGAACATCACCTTTATTGCTGGCACCCAGCACATGCTAAGTCATAAAGCAAAGTGGAGGGAATTAATAGGGATGCATCTGGAATCTCTTAATTTTTCTAAATGAAAAAAATCTGTATTGGCCAGAAATTTGGAAACCTGTCCTTACACTTTTCATCTGTTTCCCTTTTCCTCACATTGTTGGAAAATAAGATTCACAGATTCACACTACATCCTAAAGTCCTAAGGCGCTTTTTTTTTTTTTTTTTCTAAATTCATTAAGCCAGTCAGTTGCTCAGAAGCCTATGGCCATTTGTGTAATCTGTCGTCCAGGCTCAGTAACCTGTATTCGCAGCCCTGAATGATCTGGTTCCATGCTGTCCAGCTTTCTTCCCCTCCAACCACTTACTAACAGAGCCGTCTCTTCCAGGAAGATGTTTTCTTCCCATGCTACTGCATAAATGAAATATTTATTCCTACCACCAAGTCTTGCTCATGGACTTGCTTCTGTCTTCAGCTCCTTTACTGCTGCACACATTCAAGTCATCTTTCAGCGTTCGGCTCCCCTTTCAATCTTTGGCTCAGTGTAATCCATCTCTACTCTGGGTGACCGTGTGCATTTCTTTGGAGGGACTTCATCTTAAAATGTATAATGCCTTTTTCGTAATCCTTTATATTGCCTATCTTTTTTTTTTTCTCTGTGCTATTGTAAGTTCTTGGAGTGCCTTATCTTCAGCTAGCACATAGTTTAAAAGCGCAAATGGTTGCTGATATAAATTGGCTTGCACTGATTTATGATTCTGGAGAGAGGGCAAAGATCTTCTCTGTGCTGTGAACCCTTTTGTGGATGGCCACACTGGGGAAGTGGGAGCTGTGTCACGTTCTAGCTATTCACTCCTTGCCCCAAAGTTCAAGGCTGGGCTCCAAACTGGCAGAGGAACCGTGTTGTGAAGTTGGCTCACGCTTGAACGACATTTGCCTGATTTTTGTCATCTTTGCCCACACATAGCTACTCCTCTCCCGATGACCTTAATTCGTTGTACTGTGCCCCAGTCTCCGTTCCTTACTAAAGCAGATATGGATAACTAACACGGAAAGGGAATTCCTTTTCACCGTCCCCAACTGCCATGTTCCTGACAAGCCGGAAGTGTGGCTTCTGTGAAATGTGTGGTGTATCATGCTCTGAGTATTCAAGATTGCCTGAACGGTGAAAGTGCTGAGTTTCTATTCAGCTTCCTCTATGAACTGGGGGTGTGGGGTTGATTGTAATATCCTAAAACACCTGATGCGCTTCTCTGGTCTGGAGAGTAGACTTGAATGGCCCCCAAGAGACAACGGTGGGTGGGTGTAGGATGTGGTGGGAGGGGGCTGGGGGTGGTCTTTAAAGCAAGCAGATGGCAGAGATTTTGTTCTAAGAAAATAATTCTCAAAATATGAAGTGAACCTATGGATATAGCAACTGAAATATAACTGCTCTCATTAATCCTTTGTCAGGCAAACTGGTGGTATTTTAATTTCTACGCATGCTGCCTGTCTATAGTTCTCGCTCTTCATTTACTCTCGACAGATCTCAGAATAAAAGAAAAAACATTAAAAGAAATACTTTCCTGTTGATCATTGAAGATCACGGGAAATGAAACTTTACCATAGTTTACATTGAGACACAGTTACAGTTAAAATCTAAAATACGGAATCACTTAGAAAGGTTTTATTTGTATAGTAAGGTTGCCTGGGTTCCCAGCGCTTTTCTACAAGTAAGTTAAAACTAGAGTCATTGAAAATTAATTGATGAGTGAGTGGCAGCGCGCAGCATTCGCTGGAGATGGCTTTGTGCGTCCCTGGGATGCTCTCCTGGGCCTGTGCACTTGACTCCAGGGGCTTTGCATCATTATTTAAACGTGTGAGGAGACTGCCCCGATGCGCGACACCACGCTAGTCATTTCGTCACAGAAAAGAAACGATTTCCCCTGATCTTTGCACATTTCTCAGGGAAACACCTTGGAGGAAGGAAAGAAACTGTTTTCTTGCCACCCGCGCGTGGGTGGGGCCCCACGAAGCCCCCCGCGAGGGCTGGCCCTGGTGTGGGCAGCTGGGTCAGGCTCCCTTCTTAAGAAAACAGTCCTGCTCTGGGGCCTCAGCGCCCTTTGTTGTCCGCCCCGCGAGGTGATCCGCTGAGGTCTCGGCGGTGACAGAACCAGTTTGTAACAGGCTTGTCTTTCAGGCTCCTGTCTCTCGGGCTTGCTGGCGGCTCTGACAAGAGTGGCAGCCGCGCGAGGCGCGCAGAGAGCTCGGAGGCCCAGAAGCCGGAGGCGGGAGGCTCCCGGGCGGGTCCCACTGACTGCTCTCCTACTGCAATGGGTTGGCTGGAGGAACTCCGCGGGCAGCTTCCCATTTCCTCCGTCATTCTTCTGTCTGTGCACGCGAGGGGTAAGGAGATCAAGGCGCCCCACACAGCAGTGCTGCAGGGGCTGGCTTCAGGTCTGCTTTCCTAGCTCGGTCACACATAGGTTCAGTGGCTCAGAGTGTCCCGATCCCCATTCTCCAACTGCTCTGTCACTTGTACTGCGTGCTCTGTCAGGGCAAGGCTTTTGGGGTGCTCTGTCTGTATCCTTTTAAACGGATTTAAAAAGTTTCTCTTTTCTCTAGCCACTTGGAATTACACCCAGTCCACTTTGGAAGTTGCAGAGTGGAACTGTCAACATGCTGTGATACTTGCTATGTGAAGTACTGAAATAATTCTAACAGGCAATACCTTGATGAATTTGAGTACTGTTAGATGTGTGTAGGTTAGTTAATTAACTTTGAAGTGAACTATAATTTTTATAAGCATGCATTGAGTTAGTCTGTCATTTTATAGTGGCAGTGATTGTAGCTTGTGAATGTGTCAGATGCTTGTCCACATTTAAGAGTCTGGCTTTTTTGATAGTTCTGTGCAGATTATGGTATCAAGCTAAAATGTAACAGTTTAATATATTATCTGAAATTTTTAAATAAATGAGTAGTTTCTAAGAGTAAGTGTACTATTTTCAAATTAAAAGAAAGGTAACAATGAATATGAAATAATTAGTGGTGGTAGTAATTGCAATGAGGGAGTTAAAAAGTTGACAATAAGGAAATAATGGCTTTATACACCAAAGC